CCCTATGAAGCAGTATATAAGTCTAACTGCTATTGCTATTGCTATTGCTACTTTTAGAAAAGTTATGGAAGAAACCTTCACATTATGATGCATGACATGTTTGCAAAAAAAGTATATCAAAATAATTATTATTCAGAAATGGCATAAATCATGCATGCAGCTAAGTTTAGAGGCAAAAAAGAGACCCTGGTGTTATCATGTAGCTACTTACTTATAGTAAGGGTAGAGAGGAAAAAGCAAGTATTCACTAGAAGCCACTTAGAGTTGGTTGAAAAATGGATAACTATACAAATAAATAATAAGTAGCCAGTCAGACAGGATCCTTGAGTTCTTTATGTTTAGCAATAGACAAAATGACAATATTCTGCATTATTGGTTTATTCAATAGAAGTAGTTCTAGGAGGGTTAAAATTGAATAAATATTCACTTTTGCTGACTTTTGGTGTTTCATGGATGGATTTAAATAAGCTCAATTCATGCATATTGTTGCTTCTTCCTGATTTAGAAGAAAGTTTTAGTTTGATAGATTTACTTTATCCTTGTGTTAATTTAACTGCCTTCTTTAATCTAGATAAAGCCAGAAAGAACTATATGTTAAGAGTTTCATCAAAGTTTGCTTGTAGTTAAGTGACAAAAATATTGCAGAGAAACTTACAGAAGGATGCTCTCAACGTTGCAAAGTTAGATGAAATTCACATATGAGAAATACTGGCAGAATGAGTGCACCCCAATTTTGCTTCATTTGGTCCTATAGTTCATGGACCAGATGTAGCATTAAGAGCCATTTTCATCTGGTCCACAGCTGTCTAGCCTGTGGAATAACTAGGCTTTTAAAAAGTTTTCATTGGCAACAGAGGATACCTTTTAAAAATATAACCCTCCATTTGGGGAGAGAATTGGGATGGAATAAATTCCTGAGAAGAAGGAACCATCCCTTCTAAGATATTTAAATCTGTCCTCAAGAATCCCTCACTCTCACAAGGCAATCTAGTGTGAACAATACATTTCATGTATATATTAGAAAATGTCATTGATAGATCAGTAGAAGACGAAGGAGAAGCCATCAAAATGATATGACCAAACTTCACAAATATGTAATATTTTGCTTGGAATAATTTCCAACTATCTTTTGTTTGGAAGAATTTATATTTTACTGACAAATAAATTCAACACAAAAATAGGCACCTGGATGGAGGCTGAAAGGTGTAAACAGAAGCATTATGCTCCGTCCCACATTTGGCTAGACCAGGTTGCCCTGATATACTGGTCTCACTGGAACCCCCCCCCCAAACACACTTCTATTTGGAATGTACATTACATTTTTATTTCATTATATGATGAGGGATTGTTGCAAGGTGTACATTTTATTTTTGCTTTGTTGCTGAAATGTGGGTCCCTAAGTTTGACTAAACTATCTTTTTTTCCACTTAATGTATAGGGTGAATCAGGTCCACCAGGGCAGATGGGTGCAACAGGTCCTATGGTGAGTGTATCATATTCATTATTCACAATTCTTTTCTTTTTTTCTTCCTGTAGGTTTTTTTTATTATTGTATAAGTGTAGTTTTAGTCTAATTATTGAAGAAATATCTTAATTTTATTTCTTCATTCAGCTCTCTGGTTAGGTTTATCTTGTTTTAGACCCCAGGGTCATAAGATTAGTTGGGATGGCAATCTATACCAGCTGCCAGCTGCCATCCAAACTGTAAGAAAACTGAGCAAAGGGGTGATTTTTTTAAAGGTGAAAAAAGTTATTTCCCACAGAAGCAATACTAGCAATTTATTTTCTACAGAGACAGTCAGCCAGATTGGACCTTGAAGTAGTAACTGAGAGAATGCAAGGAGAATTTATTTTTGTTTTTTTAAAAACAAAGACAACATAACTTGTTTTCCATATGCCAGAGGAAGAACTTTTTTTGAAGAGCCGAGGTGGCGCAGTGGTTAAGGTGCAGTACTGCAGGCCACTTCAGCTGACTGTTCTCTGCGGTTCAGCAGGTCTAATCTTGCCGGCTCAAGGTTGACTCAGCCTT